TAATTATCCTCAAACATTGTCATTACATCATCAAGGCATGCAGGCCGGAAGGAAAGACTAATCTATCTAAGACGAGGTCCTCTAGCGCGCTCCGGTAGCTAATCATCTGTGCCTGAAATCCAAATATATCTGTTCAGCGAATGATGCTGGTAACCCACTCCAACGCGTTAAAATACAATATAGGTATATATATATATATATATATATATATATATATATATATATATATATATATATATATATATAATCGCACTCAGGTGCGAATGCTTCGCCCATGCGCGAAATAGGAATGAAGTCTGTTCGTCCACGTGTCCAGATCTAATGGATGAGAAACACTGATTTTTTAAAAAAATGCGGTGACATTTTCGTAAATAATTGAACATCGAAGTGCAAGTAAAATGTATTACAAGTGCATGTAAAATGTATTATAGGTGCAAGTAAAAATTTACACTGAGCATCAATACTTAGTTGCACCTATAGTTCTAAGTAGTTGCACCAATAGTTCTAAGTAGTTGCACAAATAGTTCTAAGTAGTTACACCTAGGTGTATGAATGTTTGCGAGTGGTTTTCAGGGGTATTACTACTCGCTGAACTCAGATCAATGAATGTTAACAAGGCAAAATTACATGCACTTATAGGTGAAAGTAGGTGCACCTATAGTTATAAGTAGTTGCACCTATAGTTGTAAATAGTTGCACATATAGTTATAAGCACACCCAGGTGCATGAATGTTTGCGGAAAGTGAATGCTAACAAGGCAAAATTACATGCACTTATAGGTGAAAGTAGGTGCACCTATAGTTATAAGTAGTTGCACCTATAGTTATAAATAGTTGCACAGATAGTTATAAGCACACCCAGGTGCATGAATGTTTGCGGAAAGTGAATGCTAACAAGGCAAAATTACATGCACTTATAGGTGAAAGTAAGTGCACTTGTAAGTGATTTTACTTGCACTTCGATGTTCAATTATTTACGAAAATGCCACCGCGTATTTTTTTAAGTTATTAGATCTGGACACGTGTCGCGCGCTGATTCGTTCGCATTTCCCTCCTGAGCACTTATTCGCACCTGAGTGCATCCCTATATATATATATATATATATATATATATATATATATATATATATATATATATATATATATATATATATATATATATATATATATATAGGAAAACCATTTTGAAGCAGGAAGATATATACTTAGGAGACTCTAGCTTTAAAACCAGGAATAGACTCGACAAGTAGGGACAAGCACATTCAACAGTTATAATCAAACATATAAAGACATCATCATATATCCTAAGGTCACAGGTTAATTTCATATCATTTATATCATCTTTCAATCAATATCTTTATCACATAAGCACACTTTGGTGGTGTTGCAGGACCCTTCACACACCCATACACGAAGTGCCAGCGCATATAGCTCTGGCGTGGCCCCGAACCACCCTGCCTGTACCGCAGCACAAGGGGTCGATCGCAACCGACCGATGAACCGCAGCTCATCATAATGTTTGATCGCAACCAAACAGTGGACCGCAGCCCAAAGTGTATTTCTGATCGCAACCAGATTATGAATCGCAGCTCATGTAAAACGTTTGATCGCAACCAAACGGTGGACCGCAGCCCTATATAATATTTATATACTTGACCGATCGCAACCGGCCTGGTTAACAGTTGGTATGGTTCTCAACCCATCCAACTGCCCGTATAGCCAATTTGATCGCAACCAAATTGGGGTATCATGCACACATAATACATAGCAAGCACATGCAACCCACAGTAGCACATTGGGAAAGGGGAGAAAATGTATAAATAAACTTATGCGTGGTCATCCACATACTAGGAATATTCCTAAGGAGTTCATACACCTTTCGCCTAGGTTAACGGGCTACCAATTCAACTAGCATGCAATACCTAAGACTCTTTTATCCTACGAATGGTACCCGGAACATCAAACTAAACTCAGGCACGATAAAATGAGTCCGTTGGGACACCACGAGGGTCGGGGAAACATCAAACGGGGAAACCACCATCCCACACTGGGGAAAACCAGCGGGTGGCCGGCGGGTGGAGGTACACCCGCCGGCGGCGATGTTTCGGGCAACGGGTGCCCGGCGGGCAGTCGCCTTCCCGCCGGCTGCCCGCTGTCGACAACGCCCTAATTGGGGCAGCGGGTAGGTGGAGGGTTCCCCTACCCCCCACTGACTCTTTTTCAACATATTGGTCCCGGGATCTTTCGTGAAACCCGAAACCATGTTTAGACACTCTTAAACATGAACGACGACACCACGTAGTCAAATAACGGATCAAAACCAAGAATCATATTGAACACATCTTAACATGACTTCTAAACATAATTAACACCCGAACATGCGGAATCCCACCCAATTATATCAAGAATATCATAATACGAAATCCCCAATTTAACCTAGGGCTCTAATCATATTCAAATCATCAAGATCATAGTTCATCTTTAAAATCAAGAACATCAAGATTTATCAAGAACATCAAGATTTATCAAGATCCTTTTATAATCATCAAGATTATCAAGATCAATACATAAGATCATCTCATCAACATCAAGATCATACCATCATCATCATAAAAGATTTATCAAGACACAAGCATAGAGAAGGAGCCAAAGGAGAAGATTATAGCAAAGAAAATAGGTTTTGTTGAGACATGGGTTACCTCTTAGCCTTAATTAATCCTCCCTTGGCTATTAAGGTTCTTCCCTAAAATTTCCATCCGATCGACCTCCCTAGGCTTGGTGGTGGGGAAGCCCTTGGGAATACTTTTGTGTAATATAACTGTGGTGGTAAGGGTTCTAATGTTTTCTAATCCCCTATTTATAGCATCAGGTATCCTAACCATAATCTGAATAGTAAAGTCCTACCACCTTCATTCCTAATAGATAAATAGGGCTAGGATTCCTAATTAGAATCTGAATAGTAAAAGGTTTATTCTCTTTATTCCTAATAGGCTTAAGACTCTAGTTTAGGCAAGGGTCCACGATCCATGGTGGACCACATTAATTAATTAAAGGGAATTCTAACTTAATTAAATCCTTTTTAATTATTATTAACGGAATTTATTAAATAATTAATCCGGGATTGAAGGCCGTAACACGGGGTGTTACAACTTTGTTTTATTTTATTAATAATTTTTTTTGTTAACAATAATAAGCACATCTGAATTCTAATTTTACTATGTTTCAATCTGTAGTAATTTACACAATTGAATTTCAAAAAAGGGGATTGCCACATGCTCACATTTTGATATTCTTGGCCAAGAGTAACACTTATCCTACTGCAAAAGACATTGATATGATTATATCTGCTGAGATCCCAAGTGAATTGTGCGAGCTAGAATATTACAAAGCTGTGGAAGAATTTATGATTCATGGTCCATGTGGTGCAGAGAGGAAGAATTCACCTTACATGGTCAATGGTAAGTGCTCTAAATTCTACCCCAAAAAATTTGTTGAAAGCTCTACAGTGGATTTTGATGGATATCCGATATATCGCCGTAGAGATAATGGTCGTACAATAAGGAAAAATGGAGTGAATTCCATTTTTGGTCCTATTGTTATAGGGGTCATTCCAATTTTAGTCCACCATAATTATGTTTGCCACATTGCGTCCACTATTATTAAAAGTGTTTCAATTTTAGTCCAAAAAGTGGACAAAAATTGGAACACTTTTAATAATAGTGGATGCAATGTGGCAAAAATAATTATTGTGGACTAAAATTGGAAAAGCCCCTATAACAATAGGACCAAAAATAGAATTCACTTGGAAAAATGGAATTGCCCTTGATAGTAGATATGTTGTTCCACACAATAGGCATTTGCTGATGAAGTACAAGTCTCATATTAATGTGGACTGGTGCAACCAATCTAGATCAATAAAGCACTTATTCAAGTACGTGAACAAGGGTAATGACAGGGTCACAGCTGAGTTTTACAACAGTGCGGTTGAAGAATCTACTGGAAAGGTTATAGATGAAATCAAGATGTACTATGACTGTAGATATATTTCGTCGTGTGAGGCCGCTTGGAGGATATTTGCATTTGACATACCATTTAGGGACCCATCTATTGAGCGATTGAGTTTCCATCTTCCAAGTGAGCATTCAGTAATATTTCACGATGATGATTTGGATGATGATGTTGTAAATCGACCAACAGTAGCATAAAGCATGTTCACTGCATGGTTAGAGGCAAATAAAAATTACGCAGAGGCGCGGCAGTTGACTTATTCACATATGCCAACTAAATTTGTTTGGAAGAAAGATAAAAGAGAATGGCATCCTAGGCAAAGGAATTGGGCAATTGGTCGAATCTTTTATGTGCCCCCAAATAGTGGTGAAATCTTTTATTTGAGATGTTTACTTAACATTGTTCAGGGACCAACGTCATTTGATGATATTAAAAAAGTGGATGGCGTACAATATAATTCATTTAGAGATGCATGTTATGCACGTGGTTTAATTGAAGATGATAAAGAGTATGTTGATGCAATCAGTGAGGCAACAGTTTGGTCTTCGGCACATTCGTTAAGAAAATTGTTTGTTACACTATTGACATCCAATCCAATGTCAAAGCCAGAAGATGTGTGGAAGCTGGTCTGGCGTTACTTATCAGATGATGCTGAATTTATGTGTAGAAGAAACCTCTCAAATTCAGGTAATAAGTAATTATATAAATATATGTATATATCCTATAAAAAAATTGTAAGATATTATATATATATATATATATATATATATATATATATATATATATATATATATATATATATAAAATATCTTACAATTTTTTTTTTTCTTTTTAGATCTAATTCTCAATGATTCTCAAAAAAAGAATTATGTATTGACTGAAATGGAGAAGTTGTTGAATGCTTGGAACAAATCTCTAGCAGATTATCCACCGATGTCAATGCCAGATCAAAACAGTGATTTGTTTTAGGGAATTAGGTTGTTGTTCGAGGAAATGTCATATGATATGGAAGCTCTAAGGCATGAACATAATTCTTTGCTTCAGAAACTAACTGATGAACAGTTACTCATCTATAATAAGGTGGTTGCAGACGTCCAGACCGAGATGGGTGACATGTATTTCGTTTATGGTTATGGTGGTACAGGCAACACTTTTTTGTGGAAGACACTTTCAACGGCTCTAAGGTCCAAAGGTGAAGTCGTATTAAATGTTGCATCAAGCGGTATAGCTTCATTACTTCTACCTGGTGGAAGGACTGCACACTCCAGATTTGCTATACCAATTTCTGTTAATGAAGATTCCACTTGCAACATTAAGCAGGGCAGTCCACTGGCTGAATTGATCATCAAAGCCAAACTGATAATTTGGGATGAAAATCCGATGATGCAAAAACATTGTTTTGAAGCATTGGACAGGACAATGAGAGATTTAATGCGTTTCACAAATCCTAGGAGCTCAACGATGACTTTTGGAGACAAAACAGTTGTTTTGGGTGGAGACTTTAGACAAATTCTTCCAGTTATTCCAAAAGGTACTGGACAAGATATAGTACAAGCCAGTATTAATTCTTCTTACTTGTGGAATAATTGTGAAGTTCTTCGTTTAACGAAGAATTTAAGATTGCGAAGTATTAGTAATGAAGATGAGGTTGAGAAGTTAGATAGTTTTGCCAAGTGGATTGCAGATGTAGGTGATGGAAATCTTGGGGAAGACAATGATGTTGATTGCAATATATTGATTCCTTAATCCTTTGTATTGAAAAATGAGGGCGATCCCATTAGACAAATTGTTAACAGCACATTTCTTAAATACCATTCTGGAAACATGGATGCAAAACAACTCGAGAGTAGAGCTATTCTGGCTCCAACATTAGTATTGTCGACGAGGTGCATGAATACATGAACGGTATGAATCAAGCCTCATCAATAACATATTTGAGTTGTGATTCTCTTTGCAAGTCAGAGACAAATGTTGATATGCAATCTGAGGTCCACAGAACAGAATTTTTAAATAGTTTGAGATGCTCAGGGGTCCCCAACCATTGTTTAACTTTGAAAGTTGGAACTCCAATTATGCTGCTGAGAAATATAGATCACTCACTGGGACTGTGCAACGGTACAAGGTTGGTAGTCACACAATTGGGAAATCATGTTATTGAGGCACAAATCATATGTGGCAACAACGCAGGTACAAATGTGTTGATACCAAGGCTATCTTTGACTCCTTCAGACCCAAGACTTCCATTTAAGTTTCAAAAAAGCAGTTTCCAGTTATGCTGTCATATGCAATGACAATCAACAACAGTCAATGTCAAACGCTTTCACATGTTGGTTTGTTACTCAAAAAACCAGTTTTTAACCATGGCCAATTATATGTAGCAGTTTCTAGGGTGAGTAATCATGACGGTCTTAAAGGTCTTAATTTGTGGAGAATCTAGAGGTCTTTTAAACAAAACTCAAAATGTAGTTTACAAAGAAATCTTTAATAATGTGTAACTTTTTTGTTTATGGAACGCCAATGAATTATATTTTGTCTTTTTATTACATCTAAAATGTTATTTGTCCTATATATACTATATACCAAGCTTTTATATATTACATCATAATATCATGGCCGTGCAATGCACAGATGCAATACTAGTTAAAACTATATAGTTATACCGATTACTTTATGCCAAATTTAATAAATGCCCATCTTAACATTCTCAAACAATGTTTGAAAGTAGCTTATTAAGTTCATCAACATCAATTGAAATTTCAAGTCCACCTGTATTTGGTACTCCTGCCATACCCCCAAAAAATATTTAATTTGCTTCTTCAAGCACTCCTGCCTCCGGTGCCCCCAGAACACCAGCATTTGGTGCTTCAACTACTTTAGCTTTTGCTACCACAGCAAACCCAACATTTGCCAAACAAAACATTACTCTGTATCATATTTAAACAAGCATTCATCAAGATATGATGAACTTTTATTGAACTTCCAACAGAAAGAAATAAAACTACAAAGTGGGAGGACCATCAAGGTCCTCTACAACGTACTAGCCCCAAAAATATCATCAACTGCAGTGCTGAAAAAAAAAAAACAAAAAAGATGCCCCAATCTTCATCCATCCTATTTGAGGGAGCTACCAATATCAATCACGAAACGATATTTAACATCCTTGTTTATTAATCTCTCAAGAGCCTCATTCACATACTGAATTGGAACTATTTCAATTTCTGGGTATATTTTGTGGGAAGCGCAGAATTCCAGCATTTCTTGTGTCAGCTTTGTTCCTCCAGTTATGCTTCCGGCAATGCTTCTCATACCTGCGAAACATCATAATATAAGCAACATAGGAATATGGAAAAAGGAGAAAAAAAAAAAAAATTGCAGACTTTAGCTTTTAGATGAGATAATTATACCAAAACTTAGGCTTGCAGGGCTAAATTTCACTTGTTTAGGAAACCCCACCAAAGCAAGAACACCAGCAGTCTTCAAAAGCGACAAGTACAGATCAAATGGGATATCTCCGGATGCAGTGTTAATCAGGAAGTCAAATGATTTCGACAGTGCCTATAACAAAAGACAGTCATGTTTTTCAGCAACCAAATCACCACTCAACAGAACTTTAATTTACCAGTGTATAGTATCTTAATTACCATCATCTGTTGCTCATCAGATGAGATCACAAAGTTATCGGCACCAAGAAGATTAAGAGCTTCTTCTTTCTTTGATATACTGGTGCTGAAAACTGTCACATTCAATCCAAAAGCTTTGCCAAACTTCACAGCCAAGTGACCAAGACCACCTAGTCCAATCACACCCAAAGACTTACCAGCTTGATTCATGTTGTGTTGCATCATCGGAGTGTACACAGTAATTCCAGCGCATAACAATGGCGCTGCTGAAGCGAGAGGGTAATTTTCAGGAATGTTATAGCAATACCTGCACAAATGAATGAATGATAGTCAGCAATCTAGTAATATAAAATCGATCTATTGAAAATTTGTGGGAATTGGAAGAATATTAATTATAATATTCACCTTTCATGAACAACAATGTAACTTGAGTATCCTCCCTTAGTGATTGTACCATCCACATCTACGTAATCAAAAGTAAAAACAGATCCCTTTGAACACTGAACTTCTAATCCTTCATTACAATACTCACACTCCCTGCAAGAGTTAACATAAGTTCCAACTCCCACAGGGTCACCAACTTTAAACCGCTGGACGTTGGATCCAACGGCTTTCACAATTCCTACAATCTCATGTCTGGCATGCATGCATGCATGCAGAAAAATGAAATATATAAGTATAAAAACAAAAGATAGAAATGAGCATCTATAAAATTGTTATTATATATACCCAGGCACTAAAGGGTACTTGGATGTTCCTCCTTCATTCCTTGTCCAGTGAACGTCAGCATAACAGATGCCACAATAAGCAATATCTAGTGAAACATCATCGCTCCCAACAACCCTAATATCGACATTAATCATTGCAGAAACGAATTAAAAGACATCATTACAGAGTTTGAGTAACTATTAATAGTTTAAAATATACTATAAGCTCTTAAATAAGCTCTGTCATACAGAATCTATATCGTAGTTCAATATAATATAGTACAAGTTGTAGGGGTATGTACCTGCGGCTGAAATTATAAGGAGAGAGAAGTCCGGATGAATCTCTGGCAGCCCATCCAAGGCAGTTGTGTGTTGAAGAAGTCATGGTAGCTAGCTTGCGTTTCACAGAGCTGAGATTCTGGGAAAAAGAATCACAGTACAAGATATATATAGTACCATTCAGTAATCTTACAAGAAGTTATTTAAATGTAATTGAATGATTCAGAATGTAAAGATTGAAGCTTTGAAAGAGGATTGGATAGATCCGTTTGTTCCAGACTTAACTCGTATAGTGGGTTAGGAAGTCGTGATCCTCCGACCTCATCCATTACGTCAGCTAATCTTCCAAGCGCGTCACCACCTACGCATACATAATTCCCCGGCATTATTAATTTATACTAGTTTTTTTACCTGTATTGCGCGATTGAGATAATGCCCAATGTTTTTTTTTTTTTTAAAAATAAGTATTTAAGTATACATATCAAGGCAAGATTATTTTGGAATTGTTCATGCATAGATAATTGAATGTTAAATTTGGGTATTTAAATAGGTAATTCTAAGTTTACAAATGCAAAATGATATAGTCAAGATTGATTATAATTGTCAATACAATAATTGTATAGGTGTATGGTTGAAACCAAATACGGGACATAAGGGAGAACAAATAAAAATTAGAGCATAAAATATTGAATATATACTAATATTAAAGAGGTAACTACTGATTGTCAAACAAGGACATTGCAAGGTAGTTTCCCACTTCAATTTGTTGTGTGAATTGGATACTCTTTTTGCCAATAAATCCCCAAATAGTTAATGCGATTGGCTTAATTATATTTTTATATTTTTATATTTTTTTTTAAAAAAAAATAAATTATTATTATTATTATTATTATTATTATTATTATTATTATTATTATTATTATTATTATTATTATTATTATTATTATTATTATACCTTTAGGTCATTTTACATGTTAATCTAAAAAGCTAATTTTTTCAAATATCTTTTGACCAACTGTTGATATAATTCGCTGGTCAAATCCGCTAACGCTTACCGCTAACTGTTGATTGTCAAACAAGGACATTGCGAGATAGTTCTCACTTCAATTTGTTGTGTGATTTGAATATTCTCTTTGTCAACAAATCTCTCAAGTAGTTAATTAATATGATTGGCTTTATTAATTTTATTTTTTAAAATTTTCATGGTATTAATAAAATACTTGGTAAATAAATATATAGCATTATGTTGTATTATAACTTTGATATTTAATTAAAAAAATAGTGCACAAAAAAAGATAATAGACAATGTAATGAATATAATCAATTGATGAATTTGAATGTAAAGAATTTTTATATTGGAGAAAAATAAACACAATATAACTAATGAAATTATTTCTCTTATTTAATTTATTGATAATGAATAATTTTTTTTGAATAAAGACATTGTAGATACATAATTCTAAATTAAAGAAATGCATATGTATTATTTTTTGTTGTAGCTACTAAATTATTATTTAATTAATTTAATAAGAGTAAAATAGAGTACTAATTATGCCAACTTTGATTGGGATGGGGTTCGAACTTAAGACCTTTCTTATTGAAATCAATGAGTAAGTTAACGGTGAACTAACAGAAATTAACGAAAAGATAATATTTAAAGGAAAAGTTAACGGATAATCATATTTATTAAGGATAAATTATGAAATCTTAAGGAAAAATTAAAATATGATCAATTTGAGCCATTCATTTGATTAAAAAATTTGACCGTCATTTTTTTCTACCCATTATAGGCCTAACTCTCGTAGGCTCTTAGTATAGTATAGTAGATAGATATTTATGAGTGTAAGACGGCAAATTATGCCGTGCATCCGTATGCACCATGCATGGTGCATACGGATGCAAAAACGACGTCGTTTTATTAAAAACGCGCCTCACTTAAAAAAAAAATTCAGTTTCGATTTCCAGCAACAACATTATATTATGCATAATTTGAACTATATATCCAGAATCAATGAACTAAAATTCCAAAATCGATGAACTAAAATTCCAGAATCTATGAACTAAAATTCCAGAATGAATGAACTAAAATTCCAGAATCGATGAACTAAAATTCCAGAATGAATGAACAACATAATGCTGTTGAGGGGAATCGAAACTGAATTTTTTTATAAGTGAGATGCGTATTTTTAATAAAATGAGATCGTTTTTGCATCTATATGCACCATGCATGGTGCATACGGATGCACAACAAAACTATCCGTGTGAGACTGATCAACAATTGCGGCTGCCTAACATCTTTCAACAATTTTGTCTACTGATTTGGAGTTGGTGCTATCATTGTACATTCAGCATAGCTCCCATGTTTGACTTTAATTACTTACAATCAGTTGTTTACGGTAGCCCGGACCACAGACTTAGGAGGAGCGAGAGCTTATTTGCAGACTTATCTTGAGTCAAACGAACCATGGGATTCGAAGATCCATGGCTCTTAGTGGGCGACTATAATGCGGTAATTGGTAGAGATGAGACAAATAAGTTGACTAACTTTGCTCAATCTAGATTTGGGATTCACATGCCTTAAGTTTGCATGGAAGAGAGGTCTCACCCCTGCCAGCTTCAAAGGCGCCAGGCTTGATCGTACACTCTGTAACGTAGAAGGCTTGCTGACTTTCTTGACCAATGGAATAAGGATACATTTGGGAATATCTTCTTTTTCTTTAGGAAAAAAAAGGAGCTTAATTATCTAGACTTGAGGGAGTCCAGAGGAGTTTGATATCTCATGCATCCTAAACCAGAGCTGCTTAAGTTAGAAAAGAAATTACAAAAAGAAGTTGAGGAAATCCTCTATCAAGAGGTTTCAAAGGTCTAGGGAGGATTAGATCACCTCGGGATTGGAGACGGAAACACCAGTTTTTATCACACTGCCACTATTGTGAAACAATCAGCTAAATGCATGCAATGCATCGAAAATGAGCAAGGAAGGGTGCTTGAAAGAGGAGATGAAATTAGCACTTAGCAGGCATATTAAGCAGTTCTTTGTCAGGTTGTATACTAGGGAGTCCCATCAGGACCTATCACAGTCCATACATGGAGTACCTTCACTCCATGACAGATTAAAAAAGGAAGCCTTTTCAAACTAACATTTTGGACCGAGTGCAAAACAGATTAGCAAAACCCTCTCCTTAGCGGGAAGACAATAAACTCTTGTGCAGTCAATCCTTACAGCTATCCCGATTTACACGACTTCCTTCCTTTGGGGATCATATATAGTATAGGAAGTGTAGTCTCATTAAATGGAGATGAGGCCGGGGGGACTGGGTATCCGTAAACTTGTTCATCTGAATAATGCTTTTCTTGCCAAACTTGGTTGGTTGGAGATTGTCAAGGAACGAAGATAGCCTTTGGGCTAATATTTTGAAATCAAAGTATGTTGTCAATACTAATCTCCCTCAAGCTTGGAAGGGAATGACAAGCAATGTCTAGTTACTTTTAAAAGGTTCAAAGAGACGAATTAGAGATGGTAGAAATACAAAATTTTGGTTGGATTGGTTCTCAGCCACTCACTCAAGGAGATGGTTATAATTATTGATCAAATTCCGGTGCAGGAGCTAGCTTTACTGTACCGTTAATGACTACTGGTGTTCCTCTTTTGGAAGATACCAACCATATCCTAAGGCCAAGGAAGTATGGAAGGCTTTGTATCCTACTGACTCATGATCAGAGCTTCATGGTAACCACTTATTTAATACCTGGTTTGATAAAGGCATTAAAGGGCTTAGCTTTTTGGGGGGAATCACCTTCCCAATCCAGTAGCCAAATTTGCTATTACCCTTTGGAATCTCTGGAAATGGAGAAATGACTTGGTTTTTAACAATGAAACCGAGCCTCTGCAGATCAAGATCAGCACCATAAATGTGCAAGTTGAAGTTACAGATTAAATGGACGAAACCAAATCAAAGTTAATGTTGACTTGATTTCAGCCATTAAATAAAGCAGGTTAGTTGCGGCTGTGTAGTAAGGGATATGCATGGTCTTTGTTACAGTATGAGCACTGGTTCGGTTAACAGTTCGGAAGCCTGGGCTGTACTAAAGGGGATTCAACTAGCCAAACTATTAGGCTATGGGAAAGTAGCACTGGAGTCGGACTCATTACAGGTGGTTAATGCAATCAAAATAGCCACAAGGCTGGACAACATAGTGGATAATATTGCCTGAGCTTGCAGATCGGAGCTTAGCAGCTCAACCATGTTCCTCGTGAACAAAACATTGTTGCAGATATACAAGCTAGCTAGACTCTTTCTCTGTCCATGGTTCCTGGTGTACATTTATTTCAATACCCACCTGTGGAGGTTGATCTGAATCGGCCCTAGAGGATGATATAGCTGGAATTCCTAAATGGAGACAAATCTGTACTTGACATATATTTTTTGGGGTTCCCCCTACAATAGATCTAAAAAAATGTAATAACTTTAAAATAAAGAGCCAATAACCTTGTGGTCTAGTGTAGCTCTGTAGGGATGTCAATCTATCCCCAAACCGATGGGCTGGTCCGATAAAATCCAAACCGACAGAGTTATGGCCTGAACGGACTAGCCCGATGAGCCTGAAACTAATAAGCGCGCGCGGAATTAAATGGGCTAGCCCGATAACCCGAACTAGTTATTAAAAACTATTATTTATTATAGAAGTGATGTGAAACATAACATACATGCAATTTATGGGTGAGTTTATCTTTAATATTTTTTATTACATTTTTAAATAAAATTTTAATAAATATATTACAATATAAATTATTTTTATAATAATAAATAATGAAAAGTTAAAAATTTACTGTAAATATATTATATTATAGTGTAAGTGTGTAAGTATATTAATTATTTTTAGTTATAATTTATAAATGCGGGTTTAAATTAATTGAATTATGTTTAAGTTTATATTTATTAGTGTATATGTCCTAGTTTTAAATATACTTATAATTTACTTTGTATTTAACATTGATGCATGTAATTTATATGTAATATTTTTATTTTTACTTTATAATTATAGTATTATTAAGTTATGAAGTTTATAAAAGGTATAGTTTATAACTTTACTTAATTTATGTAATAAATAAAATTTACATATATATATATATATATATATATATATATAGAGCATGAAGTTAGGCGATCATTATTGTATGGACCATGGTTCACACAAATTGTGTGGACCATATTTTGTGTACTGTAAAATAAAGTACATTCAGTACAAATATAATGTACATTCAGTACAAAAATAATGTACATTGTATTAAGAGAATGTACATTATTTTTGTTCTGAGTGTACATTATATTGTATAATGTATATTCAGTACAAAATAATGTACATTTAATATATTAAAAATGTACTTTTTGTTATGGTCAACACAATAATTTGCCGAAGTTAGGGGTGTGAATAGGTCAGGCCTCTTGTAGGGGCCTATGTCTTGGTCTAATTAATTAAGGTCTAGTTAAGTCTAGCTCATTTAGTAAAAAGGTCAGGCTTGAGCCAATTTCAAACCCTATTAAACTAAACAGCCCAGGCCTATATACTAGGCTCGGCCTTCAGGCCTACAGGCCTGGCCTATTCACACACACACACACACACACACACACACACACACACACACACACACACACACACACACACACACACACACACACACACACACACACACACACACACACACACACACACACATATATATATATATATATATATATATATATGTACATGTAAGTGTAAAAAATGTTACACATTAAACCCCACTTAAGTTGGCTTAAATTAGTTGTCAAAATGATTAGTGGTTAAGTCTCTATGTCAGCACGCTAAGTCTGGATCAGCGCCAGGATGCAGTCCAGGAAAGGTGAAGCTTATTCAAACATTTATTTTGGTCAAGACCCTACTTCCATGGGATTTTAAATCAGATGATGCAAATTAATTTGAGGAATTAAGGGCTGCACTTTTCCAGACCAAAGAGGTTTCAAATTACTTCTATAAAATACTACTTTGTAAAGCATTAAGGTTGAAGATTCAAAGATTAATTTTAAAGAGTTCATTGCTCATATACTGTCCTGATTATCCACTCAATATATACAAGTAAAGAAGGTTTCTCAACTGGTTCATGTTGCGGAGAAGATAGCCTGCACGTCCAGTCCATGGTGGTGTTGGAGTAGGCTATGGAGTAGTTGTAGTTTATACTTTAGAGTGTGATGTACTCTCCTATTGTACTATTGTTGTTCATCTAGTGGATTTGTGTTGACGTGAGTGGCCCCACATATGTAGGAGTGATGCTCCGAACTGCGTGAACATTTCCTGGTGCACGGTTCCATTTATTGCTTTTATAATTAGTTTCTTTATTTTGTCTGGGGTAGATACTGGAGCTAGTCCAACTTAATAATTGAGTTAAAATTTAGTAGGAACCTTTAGGTTATCTCTTGCATTCAAGATCCACGAGCTTTTTGAATTGGTATCAGAGCCTGGAGACTTAGATTATTCGTCTAACCGATTTGGCTATCTCGTGTTTCTTGAACTCAAGACCTCGATATCTGTTCTTTATTCTATTTGTCTGGTTATTCTACTTTGGCTTATTGTGTATTGAGTCTTGCAGCATGGAACGACATAAATCACCTCCTGAACTAACAGGTGACAGCTATGCAGACTGGAAGGCCCGCACCAAAATGCACATACAAGCTCATGGAGAGAGGGTCTGGAGGGTAGTTCTTACTGGATGCACTCATCCTACCAAAGCTAGAGCCACTCCCGAAGATCCTCCAGTCCTCAAACCAGAGACAGAATGGACGGTGCTGAGATGACTACCACAGGATATAACAATAGGGTGTTAGATATTATTTTTTCGTTAATGCATGAAAGTCAGTTCACTATTATCACAGGTTGTGACTCCACTAAGGAGGTTTGGAAGGCACTGGAAACTACTTATGAGGGGACTGACTCAATTAAGCAGTCCAAACTGCAAATGGTCCAATCTGACTTTGAAGATCTAAAAATGACAAAAGACGAATCAATAGTGGATTTCCATGCCTGTGTTCAGGAACTAGCAAATCGTGCAATCGTTCTAGGCGAACCTTTCTCTCAACCTAAACTAGTCAAGAAGATTCTTCGACTAGCAAATCGTGCAATCGTTTTAGGCGAATCAGTGGGAAACTTGAAAACCTATGAGATGGAAATACTCTCTGACCACACTAAAAAGAAGAAAAACACTGCCTTTATAGCTGAAGAACATGAGTTAGTATCACGAAACTCTCAGTCCAGGGAGAAATCAAGTGGAAAAGGCATTAGGTGTTATGAATGTGAAGGTTTCGGCCATGTTTGAGCAGAATGCGCAACATACCTAAGGCGTAAGAAGTCGATGAAGGCAGCTCTAACCTGGAGTGATGATGACGAACCTGAACCTGATCCTGATCCAGGATCTGATCCAGAAGAGATCTCCGGTAACCTTGTGGCATTCACTGCAATAACCAACATGGAGTCTGACCCAGAAGCTGAAGTAGACTCAGAAGCTGGAGAATATGTGTCGGTTGAAAACCATGATTTACCAGTTCCATCATTTGAAGTAGAATATAAAAAGTTATATGCAAAATGGGAAATTCTTGTAAAAGTAAATAGATCTCTGTCTAGTCAAGTCAGTAATCTAGAGAATGCTAAGCAAGTGTATAAAAATCAAATTACTGACAGGGATAACATCATCAAAGACAGGCTCAAACGCGAAGAAGAACTCAAACAAGAGTTGGACATGCTCAAAAGGAGAATTAAAATGATGAACAACATTTCCACCCTCGACCAAATCTTGGATTCTGGAAGGACAACATCTACCAAGTATGGTTTTGGTTTTTCTGGCGGAAAAGGCAAGGCTGTGACAGTTTTTTTAAAAGCTTCTGACTCTGACTCAGCACCTGGACCAGATTCGGATACTCCAGAAACTAGTACAGCGCGGGAAAGGTTTGGTAATGTAAGGCGTGACAATCCAAAATTTAAATTCTATAACCCTATTTGTCATTATTGCAGCGTTCATGGCCATATCAGACCTGAGTGTTTTTACTTTTATAAAGATCAAAGGCGTGAGAAGTACACTCACAAACACATTGCACTGTTTGTAAAACAAGTGTGGGTTAGGAAAGCAGATTTTATATCCTAATTAACTCCAATCGCATCTCAAGGGAAACTAGCAGGGATTAGAGAATTTGCAAATACAAGATTATTGAAGGGTCATCATCGAAATAAAACCAGGTATTTTATAATTCAATAAGTTTTGTTTTTAAAAAAATTAAATAAAATTGATCACTATTTCAGGTCCAGAAGAATTGCTGGCCTAGTCTAGAAAATATTAATCCTAATTCTCTTATTGCTGACTTGGAGAGTTCAAAAAATCTAGAATTGTGGTACCGTTTTCTACTCTCTCCTCTACTATTCAATTGGGAGATTATTGTCTTTCTCGTTGCCTATTGCACTGCATAGTTCTATTTTGCCTGGATTATCTTGTTTTGTCTTCTTTGACTGGTTCTATGTGGTTATTAAATGTCCATCTATGGTTTGATCGATTTTGTGTGATTGTACCTTCTAATTTATTTACTTCAGTTATGCTTGTTGCTAATCTTGTCCAGTCTGGTCCTGTGTCAGTTTCTGCTCTAGAATTCTCTGTTTCTATCTCTGCTTCTGTCTCTACTCCAGGAACGTCTGGTCTAGTTTCTATATCTTCGTGTACCTCTGTCATAATGTCTGAATTTGAAAGTTAAATTTATTTTATGTTATCTTTTGTTTCTTTGTGTTTTTTTGGTTGGTCCGGTCATGGTCGTGTATGTTTTGGTTGTGAGCTTTCTGTGCTAAATATTATGAATCTGTGCCTAAATATGAGTTATATGAATCTGTTCTTGAATCTACTTTATATGACTATGTGCCTGAATATGCTTTACCTAAATGTGTTTGTTTTATTTGTTAATCTGTCTATTTTGTTTGACTCAATTTGAAATTTCTTGAATTTTTGTGCTTCTGTGTTATTTTTTGAGTTGTTTGCATGTTGATGTGCTTTGTTCTGGGTCTCTCATTTTTGTTCAGCTTGTGCAGGTTCATATGGAAAAATTAATTCAGACAAAGCAAAAGGAATCTTGCTCTAAGATATGGTGTTACTTTGACGAACAGTCAATGTACATATTGAGGGGGAGCATGCTTCTTTGGATTATCCTATTATTCGGATTATCTTATTTGGATTATCAAATTATTCAGATTATTATATTATTTGGATTACCTTAGTTGGATTATCATATTATCTGGATCAGCATATTTTTTGGATTATTTTCGTGGATTATCTCTACGTGGTGAATTCTAGTGTTGAATATAGAGATTATTGATGTATGGATGAGATATGGATATTAGTCATGATAATGGATGATGAATTAGAACTTGCCCCTGCTTCAAATAAGTCGGGAACTTCGTCAGCTCATAGTCCGACCCACTGATGATCACCTTTGACCCTTATTTGAAGGGGGAGTATATCAAGTTGAGGGGGAGTATCGCCCTTGGCAAACCTTTGGATATATTTCAGGCAATCTCTATTGAAGCTCTCTGATTAATGAAGTTTTTGGTTGAAGCACAACTCCTGCCGATTGCCTGATCCAGCTCATGCGTCCTAATTATTGTAAGCAAATTACTCAATTGGCTAATAAAGATTATTAAGAGTTATGTTTAAATAAGCCCATGGGTACATTTGATTGTGTGTTTTGTAAACTAATAACCAAAGGGGGAGATTTTAAGTGTAAAAAATGTTACACATTAAAACCCACTTAAGTTGGCTTAAATTAGTTGTCAAAATGATTAGTGGTTAAGTTCTGGAACTAGTCTAGTCTCTGTGTTAGCACGCTTAGTCTGGATCAGCGCTAGGATGCAGTCCAGGAAAGGTGAGGCTTATTCAAACATTTATTTTGGTCAAGACCCTAGTTCCATGGGATTTTAAATTAGATGATGCAGCTTAATTTGAGGAATTAAGGGCTGCACTTTTTCAGACCAAAGAGGTTTCAAATTACTTCTATTAAATGCTACTTTGTAAAGCATTAAGGTTGAAGATTCAAGGATTAATTTTAAAGAGTTCATTCCTCATATTATGTCCTGATTATCCACTCAATACATACAAGTAAAGAAGGTTTCTCAACTCGTTCATGTTGCGGAGAAGATAGCATGCACGTCAAGTCCATGGTGGTGCTGGAGTAGGCTCTGGAGTAGTTGTAGTTTATGTTAGGAATAAAGTGTAATGGTTTTGATATGCCAAATTTGTATTTGTAGATCCCCCAATTTTATTTCATAGGTCTAGTAGAGTCTTAGACCATGATCGGGAAATTATTTAATTATGAAAAGAGAAAAACAGAGGAAAATGGATGAAAATAGAAGACGAAGATATAAAGCCGAAAATTAAGAATTTGTCTGGAGAAAATGACAAATTGAAGAAGAAGATGAATGATACAATATTCACGTCGCTACTACTCAAAGAAGATATCCCAGAAGAATTTTCGTGAAGAAAATTAATATTGGAAGAATGCATGAAATTGACTTGGAGATCAAGCATCTATGGAAAGAAAGAAGTACATCAAATGCGATTGGAGATTTAATTAAAAGCTGTACGGACAAAGTGGATGATGCTTGATATATTATCTGAAATGGCTCAAGTTCAAAACTCACGATTAACAATTTTACAAGGTAAAATTTGAGAAGTCAGATTAAATTAATCTGATGGAATTGGGCGCTAGATTAAGCTATGGGCGCCAATTATAAGAGGAAATTGGGAAGCAAGCCAATTACAAGAGGAAATTGGGAAGCAATTTCACTTGGGTGGCAATTGAGATGCAATTGCACTTGGGAGCCGAGCCAATTCAAAGGAATTGGGAGCCGATTTCATAGAAATACTTGGGTGGCAATTGAGATGCAATTGCACTTGGGAGCCAATTCAAAGGAATTGGGAGCCGATTTCATAGAAATTAGAAATTGAAATTGGGAGCTAGTTCGAAGCAATTGAAATTGGGAGCCAGTTTCAGAGAAATCAAAATCAATTGAAATGAAATGAAATTGAAATTGGGAGCTAGTTCGAAGTAATTGAAATTGGGAGCCAGTTTCAGAGAAATCAAAATCAATTGAA